AGAGTATCTGTGGATGTTGACATGTCACATGTTTTCAACGGGGTAATCCCCGAAACAGGTGTCTTGTTTCTTTCGTTTGAAATGGTGTTTAACGTTAGGCGGTTAGGTGTGGTCTGAGTCAGGGTTCCGCCCTTTAGCCCGACTCTTTCTGGTTTAAATGGTCTGTGTAATTTTTTTCTGTTGATGAATGCAAGTCAGGACAGTCCCGTTGTATATGGCCAAACTGGTGACAGAAGTAGCAAGCCATATTTGCTAATTTTTCAGGTGGAATAGGTCCCCAGCGCCTTTTAAATGGCGATTGTCGCTGATTATCTTGCCTATTATCCCTGTTACGCCATTGTTGGCGATTACCTTGATTTTGTTGGCTGAATGGTTGAGTTGCTGGCTGGACTTCATTTTGTGCAGGAAACTGTTTTGCCTGCTGTTGTTTTTGAAGCTGCTGTTTAATGTCTCCAATTTCCTGCTTATGAAATGCTTCCATGGCAGTCATTTTCTCTAGCAATGTTTCCATTTGTTTAGACAAATCGGACTTTGTGTCCGTCTTACCCATAGCGTGAACAGCTAGGTCGCTTTCATAATCACTTGGTTCATCCTGATTTGGTGTTGGGTCACGTCTACCGGTTGGTTTACCAAAGATAGCTGTGTGGTTATGTTGGAACCATTTTATCTGGTCAATTGCTGCTTCAACGGATGTTGGTCTGGCGGTGGCTCCATGTTGACCAGCTTCTTTATCTGAGCATCCCTGGCATATTTTCCAGATAGCTTGTGTATACATATAACTGTCGGGAAGATTTCTAAAGGCTTTACAGGCTAACGAGAGAACTCGGTCTGCCCAATCTTCCAATTTCTCATTTGTATTTTGTCGTGCACTCATGAACTGAACTTGCAACGTCTCTGGTAAGTCTTGAAAATTGAACCTTTTCTCTAATTTGTGAATTAATTCAAAGTAATCCACACCTTGGTCTCTATCCAGTAAATTTGCATAGTAATCACCTGCTTTACCATGTAAACACCAACACAGTTGGTCTTTTCGTTCCGTGGTAGTCCACGATAAACGATCAGCATACCTATGAAACCTGGTGTAAAACGTTTTCCAACTTGAGGAACCATCATACTTCAGTCCTTTAGGTATTTCTAGGTTCTTTGATTTTGGCTTTGCTGGAGGCATTAATTGCGGCGACTCCCCATAACTTAAATATGGTCTTGTAGGGTACATATTTCTGTTTATTGTAGAAGAGTATGTTGGATTTGGTGTTCTCAAGGAATATACTGGTTCCCTAAATATTTCTGGTGAAGGTATTCTGCGACGGATTTCTGGTGAAGGTATTCTGTGTCGGATTTCTGGTGAAGGTATATGTGATTCTACCTGTTGACGACGTCTTGGGACTGGAACTGGCCTTTCTAATCTAGGTTCGTGCTCGTTGGGCCCTTGCTGCCATCCCAATTGCTTTGTCTGCTGTTGTGTATTTTGATTACGTGAATAATCACGTTTTTCAATGTGCTCATTGGGACCTTGCTGCCATCCCAATTGTGAAGTCTGCTGCTGTGTATTTTGGTTACGTGAATAATCACGTTTTTCAATGTTTTCCTCAACATTTAATCTGATACTTGGTTTCGTGTACCCTAATTCATCTGTTCTGTGAATTTTGTCTGGCTTAAACTGTCGATCAATTGAAAAATCTTGAACTTTATCCTGGTCATCATACTTGGTTTGTAGTGATGGTTTTCTTTCATCAGGTCTTGACAATTTTGTTGAATACTGGTGGTCCCCATACTGCAAAGTGTAATATAAAGGCTTGCTCATCGCTGAACTGGGACGTGATAACTCACGTTTGACTTCCTCAGGCTCAGGTTTAAGCAAACATTCATCAGAAGGTGTGTCAGAATCCGAAAAGTCATTGATTTCTGCTTCTCGTCTTGCATATTCCGAATGAAATCCAGATGTTTTAACTTCACCATAATCAACATAGTCTTGTAAATCATAACTTGACTGAGTCCGTGATTTGTATTCTTGTAGCTGTGTAACTGGTGAAAAATCTATCAAATCCATCAAAGTTTCTGTAAGTCGTAGTCTTGGTATTTCAGAAAGATGCTCAAACTGAATATTACCATATGTCTCTCTCAAAGAGATAATCTTGTCAGCTGTGACATTTCCAACACCAGGTAACAATAATAATTCTTCATAAGTACAGCTATTAATCTTTGTACGCTCCTTCTGAAAAGCTAAGTCTGCCATTATGTTATTATAACACAAATACAATTCAATTTAATCACTGGTTGCTGAACCAGAAAAAAAAATTAATGTGTATGTGCTATGTGGCTAACCACACAAAAAAAACGGCAAATTTTTCCGAAAATGGCAAATTTTCACCAAATTGCTCTGATAACGGCTAATTTGTCTAATTTCTACACAAAACGGCTAATTTTAGCAAAACGTAAAACAATTATCGAAAATAACTTCTGTAATTAACGCAAGTTTTTATGCTTATATTATTTCCGTGTTCAAACACTTCATAATATACCAAATATAGCAATATGAACTTCGCAATTACACGTGACGTACTCACTTCTGTGTCTCGATAAATTCGTCTTTTTAACACAGGAAACCCTGCTCGCCAAGCGCCAGTGATGTGATTTCCGAGTATTATCACTCAATACTAATACTTCTAATAAAATGAAATGCTCCTAATTGTACTAACTTACCAAATATACTCTGATACTCTCTGGTTAAGTTCTAGTACAGGCGTTCTCATTCCCGCCAATACGCCAACTCTCGTTACCTGGTAACTATTCGAGATCTTATCCTGAGCTGGGTAGTTTACCATGGATCATTCCGGGAACCGGGCTACGCGGTATATCTAACTACCGTACTGTCTACATAGTAATGTCACGTCCATTATACCATATTACACAACAAGACCTAAAAGCACTAGTGGCCTTAGGTTTTTAAAGATAGCCAAAAAAAGTAAACGGTCATGATACATATTTAAATTCATTTCTGAAAATTATAATGAAAGTACTTCAGTAAACTGTGTACATAGAATTTTGGGCAGTGCTAGAAAGTGGTGAAAAGTTTAAAAAGGCTATCATTATCCCTTATGGGCCAGGAAATACTACCGTGCCACCTTTACTGATTCATTCACGATAATATTTCTCCACATACCGAATGACAGCCGTGTTATTCTTGATACGTAATCGCTCAACATTGCTTATTTGCATTTAAGGTCAAGGAACAGTATATGGGCTATTTCACAGATTTTGGTAAAATTTTTCATACAAGTTTGTCTCGTTGAATTAAAATCCTGAAATATTGCTGATTAAATTCCCTCAAAATATGTAAACATTTGTATAGAAAGCGTTTAAAATCAGCGAAAATCGTTCTTTTATTAATTTGTCTTAAAATCATCAAATCTCCAATTTCTAGTACGTAGATTTTTCTTAGGAAACTATATGTTTTTGATACATTAATTTTGTTTTAAATATATAAAATGAGGATAGGGTCACCGACTTTGTTTTTAGTGTATTGCCAAATCTATAACCTAGTCGGTAGTGAAAAAGTCAAAAATCGACGTTTTACGGCTTATAACGCGTTGACATTTTGTGGTATTTTGTTCACCTAGAACACAAGTTTGAATGTGTATAGCGTTAAAACGAAGTCGGTGACCCTATTATCATTTTACATCAATAAAACGGAAATTTATGTATCAACAACATACGATTTTTAAAAATAAATCTATGAGCTTGAAATTGTTCTCAGATCTAATGTTTTTAGATATTTTTCTGTGGTGTTGTTGTACACTTGTACAACGTATGTAACGTTTTTATTTGTGTTTTAGTTTTACAACATGTTGTCTAGATAGGCAAAAGGTGAGGGGGTTTGCGCTTATAAAACTTGATTTTATAATAAAATCACTGGTGATATTACTTAATCTCAAAATATTCAGGGAATCTGGCAAATCACTTTAACATATGCAATACCATGTTAAACAAGTACGTGAAATAGATACTTCGATATGAAATTAAACTTTTTTTAAATCTATTTTTTTTTTCTTAAAAACAATCATGTCTAGTGAAAATAAACTTTATATGGTTACATCTTCTTACAATACAATAGTAAGATAAAGTAACATATTGCAAGACATATCTTATTTATCCTAAAAATCTTTTACGTATTGAGAAATTTGAAAATTCTTAATAAAGAAATTATATTTCTATGGGTGTCAAGTCATACCTCATAACCGGAAACACAGTTGTAGATCAGGAAGCAAAGAATGCCCTGAACGACCCAATATCTAAATGTGAAATACCATAAACTGATTTTAAATCTAATATAAGGAACGACAATGAATTGCATGAAATTAAACCAATTTTATGCAAACCTTTAAATAAATTCATCAGCTAGAAAGATTAGTGTGTTTTTTCTAGCTGCCGTATTGGTCATACTAGAATAATACATGAGTATCTTTTGAAAAATAAAATTCAACCAGTTTGTATACCTTGCGATTGCAAGTATACAATTAAACATATTTTAATTGAATGTATAAACTTTTCCAATATCCGGAAAAAACGTTTTAATATAAATAATAAGTATGATTTATTGAATAAGATTCCTGTTGAAATAATTGTTTCATTTTTAAAAGAAATTGGAATATATTCCAAAATTTGAATTTGTTGTATCAGTTTAAAAGGATTTTAAGTTTTTTACCATGTTATCTTATTGATGAAATTTTATTTGTAAATAAATAATTTTGCTTTAAACTAAAGTTTTAGTAAATTGAAAGACTTTTTGTCTGATTTTTAAAAAAACGTCTTGTTATAATATTTAAAATAGCTCTCGCCGCGATATAGCCTTTTTGTACTGATGCAGCGTAAAGCAATCACCAATCCATCAATCAATCTTACAATACAACAGAAAGAGAAAGCAACATATTGCAAGACATATTTTATAAATCAATCAAATGAAAAGGGATATCTCATTAACTATGTCATACGAACAAAAGAACGACGCATCGTACGGGTCGGATAAACATCACATTATCATAAACTTCTGCAGTCAGCAATGTTGAAATGGATAATAAATGCATGTAAGTTTGTTGATATGTAGAAAATAAAAAATAACAAAAAAAAAAGAGTTTCATTACAACAGAGACATATATGTATATTTGTCCTTCATTGGCTGCTTCAACTTTTGTCATTAAGCGTTCCTTTATTACAGGAATGCTCAGCGTTCCTTTATTACTGGTATACTCAGTGTTCCTTTATTACTGGAATGCTCAGCGTTCCTTTATTACTGGTATACTCAGTGTTCCTTTATTACTGGAATGCTCAGCGTTCCTTTATTACTGGTATACTCAGTGTTCCTTTATTACAGGAATGCTCAGCGTTCCTTTATTACTGGTATACTCAGTGTTCCTTTATTACTGGAATGCTCAGCGTTCCTTTATTACTGGTAAACTCAGTGTTCCTTTATTACTGGAATACTCAGACGTTACGCACGTTTTTGCGTCAATGCCGTGAAATCAACCAGTCTACATTGATAAACAGCTTTTCTATAAAATCAAAACAGTTAAGCTATATAAAATGTATGTCCAGAGACTATTCAGGTGCTACTGTTTGGAAATAATCAACAAATTGTTTGATAATATTTTACAATAGTCTAAAATAAGAACAAAAATGTTGGCAAAACGTCAAAAATACGCGTGTCAGACGTAACAGACTATACGCATAATGACTTTTACAGGGTGTTTGTGCTCTTCGAAACTGTAAAATCAGCAAAAATTCGCATGAAGAATATGTTTCATAAATAAAGTATTACAACATTACTGAATATGCGTTGATGCAACGGCCAAAGCTAATTTTTTGCAGAGATAAATAGTCTTTACCATGGTCAGATTTTGGAAAATGATAAGTTATCAAAATTTATAGGTCTTTAAAATGTAAGATTATATGAAATTTCGTTTTCATAAATTATTTTCACAAAAATACATAGATGGAATCTTTCAAAATCGAATTTTTGCAGCACTCACACCGCAAATAAAAATGAAACGGCTTCTGGCAAATGTCTTGCAATAATTCCATTGTCGAATTTCGCCGCTTTTTGAAAGTAAACTGTCACAATTTCGATTTGTTGCATACAGAATAGTGCTTTTCCGTAATTTTACTTTAATCCTACAAAACATTTACATACTTTTTGATAATTTACGAAGTCAAAACAACTAAATTAAATCCAATGTCTTTCAAGTTTGTCCACTGAACGATTTTCTTACGTTTTCAACGTTGTCTATTCGGGACGCTATTTATGTGTTTTAAAATCAAATCGAATTGTTTGTTTGTTTTGTGTTTTGGTGTTTAATGCAACTTTAAGCGCCCTTGGTTGTAGCATATCGGACAGTTTTCTATGGTAGAGGAAGTCGGAGAACCTTGGTTGTAATATAAATTGTAAACCCTTGGAAAGACTCGCAAAATACACCAAATAATATCCACAAATTTTGTTACAAATGTTTTTGTCCGAGACTTATCATGTTACAATTGTGATAACTGATTTAATTGAGCAATATACGATTGCGAGAAAACGCAATTTATAGGAAATTTCAAAAAGGTAAAAATGATTCAAAATGTCAGGAACTCGAATTCCGAAAAAAAAAATGATGACCATTGAGATACAAGTTATAATATAATCGAAGACATTGTTGAAAAGGACATGATAATTGCGGTTTTTGGCAGACGATATATACTAGGAGTAGTAATAGTATCAACAAGACCACAAACTATAAAAAAAAATCCGATGACTGGGGTTGTTCGTTTAGATGAGGTTCTAAAGTTGTGAAAAGGCTATATTCCGGAAGGATAAAAAAATCAGGAATTTGATTTTAAATTTGTGAAGCGATTTGTTATTTCTTTGCAATACGATTCATATGTATAGAACTTGAAAGTGAGAATAAAATTGTTGTGCCTGAAGAGTTACTCCTCTATATCATACAAAGCTTGTAAACATATGTGATGAATACAACCTTTTTTTCTGACAATCGTTTCATTTCTTAATTTAATTGTTCTGTTATTAAAAAAGTAAAATGTACTTTTTAAGTAAGACCCGTTTAACTTGTAATTCCCCACACACTTTTTTTTATTAAAACAAAATGTATATCTTCATCCTTCTCGGATTTAAATGGGCAAACATTGCTTTTTATTACGTTCTATGTCATTTGGTCTCATTGACACTCATACCATATCTTCTTATTTTTATATAGACCCTATTATCTTACACAAAAACATATATTGTGTTATTTGTTGCTAGCGTTACTTCCAGTGGGAAATATTTATATTCAATACAACCAAACATTTCGAGGTATCCATATTGTTGTGCAGAAACAAAATTGCCAACGAAAACATTTTTCCTCAATATTCGGCGTAAAACGTCAAATGTTGACGTTACCAATTGAGACGCAATATCGTGTGAAACGTCTGAACGTTCCTTTATTACTGGAATACTCAGGAGGTGATATACTCGTTAATCTCTATATAAAAATAAGGAGATATGATTGTCAATCAGACAACTCTCCACAGTTGTTCAAATGAAGTAGGTGTAAGGAATTACATCTGTCCGTTCCTCCAAGAGAGGACTCAAACTCAAAAGTGTAAAACGAACTGACAATGCCATGGCAAAAGACGAAAAACGACGAAAAGACAAACAACAGTACACAAAACACAACATAGAAAAAACTAAAGACTGAGCAAAACGAACTCTATCAAAACCCGAGGGTGATTTTCGGTGCTCCGGGAGGGTAAGCAAATCCTGCTCAACATGTGGCACCCGTAGAGTTGTTCATATCAGTTTAACCCGGTGGTAATTTTTAATGCGGTCAGTCACATTCGGTGAAAAGTGGATGGGATTGTGGGTACGACAATTATAACATATCCGTCGTCATCTGTGAAACAGATATTCTATAACGGTCATCCAACTCGTGATGGCATGCGTTTTTAATATATACTGGTGTATAAATCGTGAGCATATTCATAAAACATTTTATCAATAAGCATTTAAAAAATTTCTTAAAAGTCAAGTTTTGTATATATTTATCCCTTATTGGCTGTTTCAACTTTTGTTTCCATGCGTTCCTGTCCTATTTGCACTATAGTATGTATTTATCAAACACAACAAAAATTTTACTTGATCTTCTACCCAAGTTTGATATTACTTCTGATGACCTAGATGAGTTTACCTAGCAGTCTTCGTTTCGACATTGGCTATGAATGATACTATACATTTTACAAAAACTGAAGAGGCAACTCAACGATTCAAAAATAAAAACAGACGGTTTTGACTGATCTTTTGGGAGCTTTTTTTGTTAGATACATTGCACCTTGAACATGGTCATCCATTTTGTATGGTTTTCCCTATTTTCGTACCCCTATTTCTTAATATTAAAAAAATCAATTACAAAAGATGCAACATACAAAGATTAATGTTTTTCATATATCATCAAAAACAAACAAACAATCAATATACACAATTTAGATATAGTATCGAACTTGCCAACCATTTCGTTATCAGTAACAGCATATTAAAAGCTTAAGAGCATTGGCTGAACGGTTCATATGTTTGCACGGAAACGACCTAAATGCTTTTTTTCAATCTATCAAGAACCATAACTCATGGACTTCAAAAGTGAAAATCTTCAATATCGAACTTGACAACCATTTTTTATTTTGTTATCAGTAGCAACATATTAAAATTTTAAAACTATTGGTGAATTGTAATTTCCCAATAGATCAAAGTCCATAACTCCTGAACAGTAAATGTGAAATTGTCAATATCGAAATTAACATCCATTTTGTCATCAGTAATAACATATAATGTTTTTGAGAATATTGGTAGAAGGGTTCAAAAGTTATTGAACTGCAACAAAATAAAGTGCCGTTTCCAACACAAATATATCAAGGACCATTACTCCTGAACGGTATAATAAAAATCACCAATATCAAACTTGACCACTATTTTGTCATCAGTATTGCCATATTAAAATTTGAAGACCATTGGTTGAATGGTTCATAAGTTATTGCACGGAATTTGCTGGCAACCGCCCGCCCGCCTTCCTTTACCAATTATAAACAGGATTTTCCTGCGGAAAACGTTAAAAATATGCCGGAAATTTCAATATCATGTGATGGTATATGACCTTGTACTTAACTTCAGCATGAATCAGTTTCGGTTAAAATAAAAAAAAATATAACAAAAGATGTAACCAATATTTATTCATCTTGATAACAGCAAACAAACAATATACACAATTTATTCATGAAGGCAATCTATCTCTGATTTCGAATTTCGACGAGTAAGCGAGTTACGATATATCTTGATTTTTATCAGATTGTCCTTACGGAACGATATTTTGTTCAAGGTTCACCAAGTCAAAATTAAATCTTTGAGCTGTATTAATCCACAGTGTTATAGTATTCCAGCTCCAAAACGTTTTACTTTATATCAGTTATTTTACTCGTGTATGGAGATTTTAACATCAGTTTTGACGGGACTCTGACTGAAAGATTCACAGTTACACCTTGATAAGTTTAATCTGACTAATATATTCCAAACATATCAAATTATCTATGTAATATATATGCAGATTGATTCAATAATATATTTGATAAATGGTGAGTTTCAACTTGTCGTATTATCAAACGTATTTTCCTAACAATATAGTAAAAAAAAAATAGGAGATAAATGCCTTCTTTTGAAAACAAAATTTGACTGAAGAAAAAATATCATTATACACACTCAAGATCAGAGGGATTGTACAGGTGTCGACCATTTTCTATTCATCTTTCCTTTTGGTTTTTAACTTTATAACGCATGTTTTCCCCGCACCGCTGTAATCTTCCAATTCGTTCCCATTGAGGCAAATCAATATAAATAAGATGTGGTATGAGTGCCAATGAGACAACTCTCCATCCAAGTCACAATGTATAAAGAGTTAAGTATGGAATTAGATCGAATGCACGCAACAAATGAAACCAGTGTAAAATAAATGCCATGTATGATCTGTGATTTCCTAAAATGCGGTAACAAAGTTTAGACTTAAAATATAACGATCAGCTTTTTCGTGATCAAGTGACCGATGCTGAACTTGTACCATTTTAAAATAGAAAATTGCAAATTGTAATAACTATATAATTACCTATATTTAGAACATAATTTATAAAACCATTTTTTTAATTTCAGATTGACTTTTTTATCTATAGCGATCGTTTTGCTTACGATATATGCACTACTTCACGAAGGTACATATCTTTCAACCATCAAGTCGATTGTGCCCGATGATCAAACAACAAAACAAAACTGTTCATAACTCTGTCACATCTATATTTGTTTCCGTTTCTCAATCCTCTCTGTCTTTAAGAAATGTATCAAGATCTAGAGTTGGGCAACAAACATCCGAAAAGAGTGTCGTGATCACAACGCTGTTAGACCCTAGATTGGTCTCGACAAATGTTTCACCTGAAGTGAAATTGACCAAAGTACATTTCAAACGAATAGCATTTCTGAAAGTCCATAAAGCAGGAAGTACGACCGCACAGAACATATTTCTACGCTATGGCGAATATCGCAACCTCACGTTTGTACTTCCAATAATTCGTGAAGATCATTTGGATAATGTTATCAGTGTACAGTCGACTTTGAATGACAAAAATATTCTTCCTCCTCCACAAAATAGAACATACGACATATTATGCTGTCATGTGTTATACAGCAGTGAAGCTTTTCATAAGTATATGCCAACTGACACAGCATATATAGGCATTGTTCGCGAACCATTTGACCAGTTCTTGTCGACCTTGAATTATTTCAGAGCTCCACATATTTTTGAAAGAATAAAAGCACACAATAAAGTTTTAAAGTATCTGCAAGATCCTACTCAGTATAAACATGGTTTACCATATCGGTGGTCAATGACAAACAACAGAATGGCAATTGAATTTGGATTTCCTTCCAATCTCTTTCGTCAATATTTAGAAGAAGAAAGCATGAATTATTTGACGAAACTAGATAAAGAATTCCAGTTTGTGATTATAATGGAATATTTCACTGAGTCGGTTGTTATGATGAGACGTATATTAGGATGGACAACAAAGGATGTTTTGTATTTAAGGAAAGATTCAGCACGATGGTCATATTCATTCGCAGATAACACTCACAGACATTTGTACGAAAGATTTGCAAAGTTAGACTACGACTTGTACAATTTCTTTTATAGACGGCTGTGGTCACAGATTCAAAAGGAGGGTCTAGACTTTAATCTAGAATTGTTATATTTTGATCGATTACGTAAAGAAGTAGAGGATTATTGCACGTATACAGTGGATAAAAGTAGCGGTTATATAGTCGCGGCTTCTATGTGGTCTGCGACATTTGTGGTTTCTAGAGACGACTGTGATTATCTTAAAAAGAGTGAGTTGTTTTTTGTGGAGAGGATAAGAAGGCGTCAATATGGCTTTCAAAAAAGAGGAAATTTAATGGAAGGTGTAGTTATAAGTTTAAATGGATCACATTCATGATGATGTTTGCAACATAACAGAATGTTTTCCCTAGACAATACTTTCATTTTACATCTCTAATTGCACTCAGTTTCTGTGAGGGTGCAGTCAACATTGAAATACAGCCATTTAATAACACTACAGTATTAATCGAACATTCGTCAATACCATCTATTATGAAACTAGGGAACCTTTCGGCATCATGTCTGATCCATGTCATTTAAATTTTCAGTTATTCTAATTTATGGTGAATTTCGTTGATTGAAACGACAAACACTGAATGATGAAATAAATTTGAGGCATATATTTTCACCGAATCAACTTTTAAAATCAGTATAATCCTAGAAAAGAATATATAAAATTGAGAATGGAAATGGGGAATGTGTCAAAGAGACAACAACCCGACCATAGTACAGACAACAGCAGAAGGTCACCAACAGGTCTTCAATGCAGCGATAAATTCCCGCACATACTCCTTATAGTGGATTCTATTATTATGATTCCAACTGTAGTAAATCGATTGAAAAACCCGGAATTCCTTCTGCAGAGAAAGAAGGTTGTTGGTGAGAAAGACGAGACTGATGTTTTATTTACCTGTTAATTGTTTTAGTATGTCACTTCTGAAGGTGGCACGGTAGTATTTCCTGGCCCATAAGGGATAATGATAGCCTTTTTAGAATTTTCACCACTTTCTAACACTGCAAAAAATTCTACATTCACAGTTAACTGAAGTACTTTCATTTTACTATTCAGAAATGAATTTGAATGTGTATCATGACCGTTTACTTTTTTGCTATTTTTAAAAATCTAAGGCCACTAGTGCTTTTATGTCTTTTATCGTGCAGTGAATACAAAATTTAAAAAAAATCTCAAAAATTCATTTTCATCTGTATGTAAAATTATTTCATATTTTTCTACACCTGATTCATCCCTCAGTTTAGGAAAGTATGTTCAGTTGATACGGTATTTTTTGTCCAATCACACTGTTCAGATACATTGACTTAGGTAGGGTACACAAGAGAGCAACCTAAATACTGGAATGCAAATACTACCGTGCTACCTTAAGTACTATTGTAACTAGTCTTATGTCGCTTTCTACGTATTAATCAATTCTAAATGAGGAAACCTGTATTTGTGTTACTCACTTGTTCACCTAAATAAGTATGACTTTTCTCCTGACATGTAAGACTAACACGAATAAACAGTCTCTTGGTCCCAGAATGCCTATACACTCATTTTTTTAATATCAAAGACTACTAGCTAATTTCATTTTTAAAGGAATCATTATTTTCTTAAATTGCTAATTGTTTTTTGAAATTATGCGAATAAAAGTATTTCTTCATCAAAAGAACAGTTTGTGTTATGGTGTATAACAGGGGTGATTCATATTGTACAGTGTGGATATACATGATTAAAGATTCGATATAATGATACCAATTACAAAATATAAAAGAAAAACAAACATTTATGAATTATGAAAAGCACTATTTCTTGCTTAGGGTAATATATATAGATATGTAATGTTTTTCATCGAAAAAATTGCATAAAAAGTTTTCGTTTTGAATAGGATAGTATTTCTTGTAGTTTTCAACTGATTTAAGTTTTTTTTTAAATTTTATCAATAAGGTACGCTCTTTGTTTAGGCCTAACAAGAGATGTAGGTGTATCTAGTTATATTAGTTCGGCATTACCGGTCTTACTATTAGTAAACTATTTTGGGAAATTAGCTATCAAAGGTAGCTTTAGGGGGGTGGGGGCAGGGCCCCTTTTGGAGCAACATATGTGATTGATGCATAGACATTTTACAAGTCCTACGCCTATTGTTTGATTGTTGAGCCCCCTTTTTCAAAATCATGGATCCGCGTCGGTTTATGATTTTATTGTAAGGTTTTATCCTTTGTACATATTTTAATACACTTTGTTTCTACTTTGGCACTTTGGCAGAGTTTTTTTACATTTGAAAATATTCATTTTATTTATACAGTAAGGTTTCAGAAATAGTCACCTTTTATTTTATAGAGATAAAAAGTGTAGTAAATAATGAAAGTCATCCTTGATTTCGTTATAATGACTTAGTATTGAAAGATCATTGACTGAATAGATTTTCTTTGCCGATGCCGTGAAATCCAGTTTGTGTTCAAGCTCCTGAGAGGATCAGAGAGTAGCCACAAAGTGATCACAGTCAAAGATTTTACCTGAACCTAAAAATGCGGCCATTGTTATATGACATGACACATATTCCCCAACTATTGCCAATGTTTCCGATTTACGACTGATTTGACCCAGTAGAGAATTTGTGGTTGATATTTCTCGTAAGTCGTAAATCGTAAATATTTGTGAAACAGTGGCGTATTGTAAACATGGTAGTACGACATATTTCTCGCTATACGACCTTTGGTGAAACATGGGTAAAATTAGAAAAGCGCTCAAAACGCGGATTCTAAAATTTAAATACATTGGGTGCAATGGGTTAGGTATAGGTAAGTGAAATCAGAAAGCTAGTTCTGTAACTTTCAAAACAAGTTTGTCATTATTAAAATCAAAGGTGTTTATTTTGTGAAATTTGACTGTATATTTAAACAATAGATCAACGTCCTATAATTCAAGATATCTTTAGTAGGACTCTTCACCATTCCATTGAAAGACCTTTTAATTTTGTTCTGATTATTTTTCTTTCCTTTCTCCACTTTTATATAAAAACATGTCGATAACATATATGGAAAATGATATTGAACAGTTATTGCGCTTTGGAAAATCTCCGAACACTTTTCCAAATGGGAGTTATCTCCCAGTAGACTAGTATTGTTTTTCTTGTTATCGCTTCTCCTCAGAAACCGTGAAAGATATTACTTATTTTTTTCATGTTCGTTAGTTCCTCATGGTGATCTATTAAATTTAGACCGGAGTGATCTGGTTACCTGTCATATGAGCTATTTCTCTTTTTGTGATCGATATAAAAGGTATGTCGATGTAACTCATAAACCACAAGACCTAGAGTCTTTAGATATGAGGTCCTTGTTCCACACCTAGGAAATTGAGGTCCAGAACAAAGGTAAATGTAAAGTTCTCAATTTTGAACTTTGCTTGTTATCGCAACTCTGTCAAATTTCAAGACTTGAGAAAACGCCAATTCATCTATCCTTTATACTAAAATAAGCTGTTAGGTGGGATAACGATCTTTTTTTTTAACCTTTACTATTACTTAATACTGGCACATGATAAAGTCATAAGGCATTTTGCATTGGGTTGGACAACATATAACAAACCATATATATTTTTGGAATCGGTGAAAAGGCAGCTATTAGTTGACACCGAAAGTTGCAGATCATATTCTTGTTTTAAAGAAAGTAACCACAAACTATATGTTTTTGGAACCTGTGCAAAATAAGTTATCTTCTGGAACTATTTTATTTGTACGTAAACAACTTTTATGTAATAATTTTTCTATCGAAAACTGTATAAAAATTGTTTAAACCTAAATTAAATATCAAAAAGAGAGATTGATAGACCTTCAATTGCTCTTTAAACAATTGGTATTTATATAATACATATGTTTGCCGGTAACACCTAGAAATAGAAAAATCATTTAGATTTGTTTATTACAACGACCATGGAAGTATTATATTGACAGGAACTACAACGATTAATTAGCACTTATTTATAACCCGGGTAGCTCTGTAGAAAAGATATGGAAACTGTCTTTTAAGTACGCTGTCGTTAATTTCTTTTGTGACTATCTGCGATGCCGCGGTCATAAATTGACAAGAGATACTTCTTATCAATCACGTGGTTTTTATCCAGACGGATTAACATCAATACCTGTCGGAAAACACATTTACGTATTTCAATCGCGTAGATTGACATTTATTCATGAACAACTTATTTAAACAAATCGACTGATGCATAAAAAATGAAAATCGGCCCAAAATTAATTATTCTACAACGATTCAAAATAGTGAGTGACAGTATTTTATTTCTAAAGGGGTTAAGTTAAAACTGTCAAAAGGGTGTGTTCCGGTTACCGCCGGGTCACGAAAATTTTCTTTAAAATATATACACTGTGACGATCCGATTAATGTATATAGCAACGGACCTGGATTACCCTGGAAAGTAGAAATTTTCAGTTTTAAATGCGAAAATTAATCTATCAAGGACTTAATATCACAGAAATTATACATAACAAATATAGTTAAAAAAAAAAGACGCACCTCGTTATTTATAAAAAAAGTTATATATATATAAGTGGGTTTAAATTTTTTGACATTTGTGAAATTCAAAACTGCTAAAATATTCGTATTTGAACGAACTTTATCCGATAATATGCAGCCGGTGTCAGTATTTTCTATTTGTCATTTATGAATGTGCCAATCTTGACTTATGATTTGACCCGTATTTATCAATTTGAGAACAAACAAAAACGAGACTTAAAAATTGTTATTGAATAGCTAAAGCATTACTGTCCCATAAAATATTTTATCACTATCTGTCCAAATGATACTAGTAAATATTGAACAGTTGCAGTACTTACAAAATTTCAACACATCGGAGCTCAGCTGAAACATTCGTATACCAACCAATGATCTGGATTTAGAGCGAAGCTTGATAATTTCTACATTTATTTCAAATCTCTTTGATCTTTAATTTTTACCAGAACAATCATTTTACAATCGTCTTAAATATGCATGAAATGTGTGCCACTGGAGTAAACAGTAATTGTATAATCACAACTTGCGATATATTTACATATAGTGCAATTTATTCCGAAAAAAAAATCAATAAACATGGGGCATTTATTCAATTAATATGGTACAAATTTCCATCGTCAATGTGTTTTTCTATAGAATAAATGATGTCTCGCGAAAATTCATCAATCAATCATTCGGCACACATATGCAGATGTAGGGTAACGGAATCTGCCGAGGTTTGCCGATTGCTGTTTCCTAAGAATTTATCACAATTATCGATTTCTTCGTTTATTTCCGTTATCGCGAAAGCAACCGAGAATGACGATATTGTAGGGTACCACACGCTGGTGTGTAAATAACGTGCCATTTTTCAAGTTATTTAACATGTCATCAAATTGAGCGCGGCATTGCAGATAAAACGTTTGGAGTCTGGTCGAAATAGTTCCTGTCAATATAATACTTCCATGCAAAGACTTACTGCAATGTGGCATATATGACTTCATAGAAATGACATTTTTTTATTTTACATACACAAGACGGATAAACAGCAGCATCTTGTGAATGAATAATTAATCATTCAGCTGATAGACTGATATTACAATTGAATAGTATAACTATGAAAGGATACAGCATTTCGTATGGAGGTGAAATAACGTTGAAAAAGAAGATGCGCTGAGTGAGAAAAAATATTAAATAATTGTAATTTTTTTTTAATAATTCATATCATATAAAAAATAAATTACTGTTTTATCTAACATATGCAAGGTCGGTATAGTGTTTTTTCCAGTGAATCGGTCCACTTTTTCGAGTGTAGATCAGGTTTTTTCGAGTGATGTCACATGCGATCAGATCAATTTACCGCTATTTCGCATATATAATAGTTTTATTCATGATGTTACATCTTAGTCTGAATACTAAACATGTTTTGGGCACAATTTCCTTGTAGTTCACTAACAATTCAGCGTTTTATATTGTCCATGTTTTTTCGAGAGCAACATTTAAATCGTCCGGGTTTTTAAACAAATGGTGCAGGGTTTTCAAAGAAAATGTGAATACGAAAGAAGGCATTCTTGGGCTTTAAAACTAACTTTTTCTAGTTTGTAACTGTAATTTAGCGAATTGCAATATAATATATTCCTAATAAGTAACAAAACATAAACTTCCAGTATTAAGATATTTTAGAAATTACTACATTCTTTATAAAACTGTCTTTAGAAGCGAGAACAGGGAACTCAAAATCTTTTTAATATCATTTCATGCTACAATATTTTTTACAGTAATTAATAGTTGATGATTTATATATAATACAGTGGCGAAACCTGGAGTTTTAAAAATAGAGTTAAGAAAACAAGGAACAGAAGTAATGAATTTAGTAAAATGCAAAAATGCAACCTGGAACCAGCCAAGCCCTCCCCCTTAAATACACTTATTCCGCCCCTGTACTGTTTCCTATTGACAATACATTTGGAATTGAAAGGAATATATAATAAACAATGAAATAAATAATCTATAAGCTTTTATATGATCCTTTTGAAATAATAATTAGAAAAATGTGTATACAATAGCGTACACCTCGTGTATTTAATTCATGTCTTTCGCAGACTTCCATAGATATAAACATTGGTAATTGTAATGTCTAGATAGAGATCCGTATTTTTCACTTTTTAAAGCAATGCTAACTGATGGAGAGGATGCTATCATTGTGTTTTATTGTTTTGTGACCAAGTATAACATACGCTTGATCATACTCCTCATCACAGTAGTAGCATTTGAAAATTGTTCTTGTTTTCCATTTATAGAAAGATAAAACAAATTATCATCAAGACAAATAAAAATTCAAATAATAAAAGATTAATTCAAACAAAACAACAAAAAAACAATTTATAACTGAATTATTTAATTTCAATATTATATTAACAATGAAAACATTTACAAAGTATCGGATTACTTCTCAAACGCATGCCGCAAACATCAGGCGAATTATCTAACATCCTAATGCGCGGATGGGATGAAACTCTATTTCGGTGCTCTAAGCGTTTAATTATCCGTCTAATACAACACGGCGAAGAAACTTTCAAAAGTCTCACTGACGAATTAAAAACTGTAATGAACTGTTATACAATCTCAAAATCTCCATGAGAGATAAAAACCAAAACAAAAACAGAAGTTCCAGGCGACAGAGTACGAAATATTCCTGCTCTCGAACGGTTTCAACTTCCGCCCAGTAGCATGTCCCATCAATAAGATACATTTGTCGGAGGATCTTGACAACTTTCAGCCTCCGCATCGAGGAATAAATGTATGATTAATTAGTATGAATACCGACGACAATATACTATTGGTTGTTACCTTTATCATACGAAGTGTTCTCACATTGTTAACTAGAGAAACTTTACTGTAAAATTTTCACGACTCGCTGCGCTCGGCTGAATATATACTGTTTTCTAGAATTACGCATTTACAAATCCTGCATACGTCCTTGCACAGTTGTACGTTCTATGAAACGTGGACAATATTTTTTTGTTCACAATTGATTCAATGGTAAGATAAAATACGAACGTTTATGGTTTCAAGGTAATAAATAGTATTGACTTAGGTTAATGGTTTGTCTAATCTTTTACTAAGATGCATTAGACAGATGGACGTCACATCTGTCAAGACATATTAACATTAATTAATCAATTTGATGATACAAGTTTGTCTCAATGAATGTTTCACAATTGATGCAATGGTAAGATAAAACACGATTGTTTATGGTTTCAAGGTAATAGTATTGACTTAGGTTATTCCTTTGTCTAATCTTTAACTAAGATGTATTAGAAAGTTGGACGTCACATCTAATAAGACATATTAACATTTAATAATCAATTTGATGATGCAAGTTTGTGTTTAATGAATGTATCACAACAGCAGTATAAAAAAAAACGTATAACGTTTTAAACTAAAGTGAATAACTGAAAACTAGGATACAACTTAAATATTGTTCCAACAATAATGAAGTAGAAAATACGAATGTAAGTTATCCTTTGGATATTTGATTAATAGCACTATAACAAAGTTACTGTAGTAAGCTCCCGTAGTGGGCTGAAATTGTAGAAGGGTAGAGTTAGGTCTGTTTACTGTTGCCCTTAAAAACCTTCAACAAACAGACAAACAGCTGTCCAAAAATAACACAAAACTTCTCTTTAAATTTGCGATGAACTCTGTAATTCACCATAATTCAAAAAATCTCGTCGGTACATGGAAATTCTCTAATCCTAAAACTTGTCCGAATGAAAGTTTAAAATGGAAACACTTCTTTCCAAGGACGAAATGCCTTTGTTCTATTAAAAGGGAAATACGGTGGTTGGTAGTTAAGTCTGGATTTTTTACTGCAATCCAGTCATTAATTTTACCTTCCGATCTACAATTGAAGTTTTATTGTTGAAATACATAATATCACGTGGTAACCTGTCCGTACATAGACCGTATCAAAGACAAAAACATAATTACCTGTATAAATGATCTGATATTTTCAAAGTATCCAAGAATCTTGTTTCCGATGATATCTGAATGGCCCATAGTCGATACCAATACTAAACAATATCTAGGGATGAGCCCCTCTGGTGGTTCACGCCAAAAACAAAAAACAAACGGAAATTGCGCAGTGATGGCATTGAGAACATCCATCCATCCTTCTGTATCACCCAGTTGACAAAGGTATACACAAACTTGCTCTAGAAAGGTTTCAATGTACAACCAGTAGAATGTCCCATCAATACGATCCATTTGTCGGAAGATCTTGACAATTTTGCAGGGAGCCTCCGCATCAAGGAATAGATGCACGATTGTGGCTTCAAAACAAATTTTAGTCAGTATGAGAAAGGTTTACTCACTGTTTTCAATAACGGAAAATGCAGTTACGTACTATATAAAGCATATATGTATCGAGCTGATTAACAATTAAAAACAAAAAATAAGAAATACATATCAATTCATTTTATTTAGAAAAAAAATCCTGGTTATTTCCTGCTTTTGGGCTTGCCTTAACGTTAACATGTAAACAAGTGCTACTAAGTATATTCGGGTTAAAGTACCATTTTCAAAGTCACACGACATCCTTTATGCACACAGTAGTAGGGGCGGATTCAAGGGAGGAGCGTAGATTGCGTACGCCCCTTTACATTTTAAAATTGATAATTGTTTCGCATTAAATCGTCCAAATTTTGTCCGACTCGCTCCGTTGACTAAATATATACCGTTTTCTAGAATTACTCTTTTACAAATCCTGGATCCTCCCTTGTACAGTTTTACATTGATTTCTATGAAACAATGACAATAATTGTGCTGTTCTCTCAATTTATCCAAGGTTGATACAATAGTAAGATAAAACACGAACTTTTACGGTTTCTTGGTATTAGTATAGACTTGGGTTAATGGTTTGTCAAATCTTTAACTAAGATATATAAATAATATATAAGAAAGATGACCGTAACATCTGTCAAGACATATTAAAATTAATTAATCAATTAGATGATGCAGGTTTGTCTCAATGAATGTATCAAAACACCAGTATAAAATATTTCGTATAATGTGTTAAACTTATGTGAACTTTTGAAGACGGGAATACGACTCAACATTAAAAATAATTCATTGTTAATTTCAACAATGTTGAAATGGAAAATACAGATGTAAGTTATTCTTTTGAGATTTTATTATGACAACTTGAAATAGTTACTGTAGTATCAGTAGTCCATAGAAACACATTATTAATAAAAGTGAGTATTGTGTTTATTATACTTATTATCATAAAGCTCCTGATAGAAGCTGAAATTTAGTAAGGGGCGATTTAGAACTGTTTACTATTACCCTAAAAAAATGAATTGGCGAGGAACTCTGGAATTCAGGGAAGATAAAAAAGGGAGGGAGAAGAGACCAATGCAAATCAAAGTTCATGTGCAGAACACCTCACAGAAACTAAACTAAAGAAATACAAACTCCATCAATATCGAGGGTGAACTCGTGTGCTAATCAAAAGACATCAACATAATTCAAAAAACCATCGGTACCTGGAAATTCTCTAATCCTAAAACTTTCCCGAATGACCGCCTTCATTTATTAGATTTTAGTTTGGTTCAACTAAATTTATACGATAGATTTGGTTTACAGTTTGATTCAGAAGAAACACCGACATAGCTAGATAATACAATTAATTATCTAAGTACTACCACAATTTGATACTAATAAGTAATGTAATGTCAGTATTACAAATCTAATCTTGAATCAATCCTAATCCTATCTTATTTTTGGGAAATTTTTTTAGAATTTCAAATGTGACGTCACTTTGTGCGTTGAGGCTTTGGCTAAGTCGGCTGTGTATTTTTATGTGCTGGATTAAGTTGTTTTATGTAATGTATCCGTTTTTATTCTATAGTTAGTCCCAACTTCGGTTTTATCATGTATATCTATTATATAGTCATTTTATAAAATTTACTGTTTGCAAAATTATAAATTATTCTAAATAATAAGGATGTTCTTGTCCCAGGCAGAAAACCCAGGCCGTGTTGGGCGCAACTTTTTGGAAGTTTTGGTTTTTGGTGCTCTTCAGCTTTGTACTTGTTTTGGCTTTCCAACTTTTTTCATCTGAGCGTCACTGGTTAGTCTTGTATGGACGAGACGCACGTCTGGCGTATTGGATTTTAAACCTGGTGCCTTTTGTTAGCTATTATTCGTGTGTTTCTTTGTCCTATATGTTCTCCATTTATTTGTATTGTAATCCTGTCATGTAATGTTGTCATTTTAATGTTATATTTAACATTGCCATAAAAGCGGGAGGTTTGGCATTCCACAAAACCAGGTTCAACCCACCATTTTTTTCTTAAAATGTCCTGTACCAAGTCAGGAAAATGGCCATTGTTATATTATAGTTCGTTTCTGTGTGTGTTACATTTTAATGTTGTGTTTTTGTTGTGTCGTTGTTCTCCTCTTATATTTGATGCGTTTCCCTCAGTTTTAGTTTGTAACCCGGATTTGTTTTTATCTCTATCGATTTATGAGTTTCGAACAGCGGTATACTACTGTTGCCTTATTTAAATGGAACAGTTGTTTCAGGGACCTTTAATATGTTAAAAGTGAAATATGGTTGGTATTTAGGAATGACTTTGGGCTTGAAATCCAGTCTTGAAATCTTACTTTCCCATCTGAATATGAAGTTTTTTTGTTGAAATACACAATATCATAATATAACGTGGTAACATGCCTGTACAGGGACCGTATCAAAGACAATAAAAATAATTACCTGTATAAATGATCGTAAATTTTTAAGGCATTCCAAGAATCTTGTTTCTGATGATTTTGGTAGTTGCAGTATGCTCACTAGCTGTTCACAAATTAATATGGACAGCTGTTAGTTTGATACTAATTAGTCTGACACTCTTTCTGGTGAGAATTCTAGTCAGAGGCAATAGTAGATATATGTTTTAACTAATACTTACACAAAAATATATAATCTTTAATTTATCATTGCCATAGGTATACTACATAGCATATTTACATTCGTGAAATTGGGAGACAATCTACAAAAGAAATTTTTTATGCTTATAAACCAGTTTTACAGTTGACAAATTATAAAACTAGAGGCTTCCATGAGGGCAGTTACTCCTAAAAGGGTAAATTAACTATTTCTGCAGTGTTCACTTATATGTCGATCTGATTTGTCTCTATAATTATTTAACTTTATATTTACAATCATAAAATCTGTATTGATCTTGATGAACAAATCATTTTATTCTATTGTTTTTGTGTTTATTTTCTGAATCCACTTTTTATTATAAATATGTATAAACTTCATGTTTTATGTTGATGATGAAGATTTTGGTGTTTAATGTATGATAAGTGCAGTATTTGGCCCCATTATTTGTAAAAAAAAATTAATAACAATATCTGGGGAGAAATTGGACTTAATAACATATTGAAGTTTTGTATTTTTTAAAATAAAAATGTATTGCCCTCTGGGAGGTATTGTTTCTTTGTGTGTTTTCGTGGTATCGCTCCTCCGTCCATTGAGCCATTTGTGTAATTGCTGCTTTGACTCAGCAAAATATTAAAGTCATATGAAACTTCAAATTTAAAAAAAAGTTGGGTATGTTTTAAATACTTGAATGGCTAAGTTTTACTATAAAACAAGAGTCATAACGAGAAAAATCAACTGCCTGATTTATGTACAAAACAATATACGAAAACACAAATAGGATATACAGCGACAAACAAATACTGAATTACAGGCATTTTGATTTGGGACAGGCATATACAGTTTGGTATTTTTCGAAACTGATTTTCAATGCTTATGAATGAACCTTAGGCTTTCCAATGATCCAGAATAGAACCAATGCTTTTTACACGAATAAGTAGTAAGATAGAACACATGGAGTCCTTTTATGTTTCATTTTTACCTTTGTGCTCTAACAGCTTGCTCCTTTATGTTATTTACATTCGCATTGCATTGAAGATTCTACTTGTTTTAATATAAACTACAGTGATAATTTCAAACAAAACAACAACAAAAAATACATTAGATCTGAATTATCTAATTTTCAATATACTATCTACAATGAAAAAATTTCAAACAGATCGGATGACTCATCAAACTCATGTCCCAAACACAAGGAGAATTATATAACATCCAAACGCGCAGATGGAATGAGACCATATTTCGTAGTTCTAAGCGTTTAATTTTGACTTATACAACACTGCGAAAAATTTCCGTTTTTTTTTGTTTTTTTGTTTTTTTTCTCGTTATGATTTTGAGATTGTATAACAGTTCATTCCAGTTTTGAATTTGACCGGAAATGTCGCAGGGATGGCATTGAAAACATCCATCCTTCTGTACCACTCAAAATAAAATTAAAAGAAGAAGACAACGCTTAGAACGTCGGCAGGAGTCGCAAACAACTCCTCCAATACTGTAGTCAACTTATCTACTCACCAGTTGATAGAGATCGAAACTTCCCTGCTCTCGAACGGTTTCAAATTCCACCCTGTAGCATGTCCCATCAATAAGATACATTTATTGGAGGATCTTAACAACTTTCAGCATCCGCATCGAGGAATAAATGTTCGATTAATTAGTATGAATATCGACGTCAACAAACTATTGGTTGTTACCTTTATGATAAGAAGGGTTCACACCCTGTTTACGGCTGTCATTCGGTATATCGAGAAAAATTATCGTGAAAGAATAAGTAACAGTGGTCAAGTATTGTGATATGATCATAAAAGAACTGGTATGGGATCGCGAAGGGAATGTTGTCGAGAAGACACTTGCAAGGTCAATTTATAATCTAATTTATTGAATTATAAGAAAAATTTAAAAAATAAAACTGTCTGTCAAAATGGTTTGACATTATGATCAGTGTCTTAGAAAATCAGAGTTTGAAATATCACCGTCTTTACATAACTATAAATCTGGGTTTTTTTCTGAAACAATCGTGTCTTGTGAAAATAAATTATATGTTTACACCTTTTTCACAATACAATATAAACTGCAAGTGACATATTGCCAGACATATTTTATTAATCAATCAGATGAAAAGGGATGTCTCATTAACTATGTCATACAAACAAAAGAACGATGCAAACAAAAGATGATGCATCATACGGGTTGGATATACATCACATTATCATAAATATCTGCTTTCAGTGATGTTGATATGGCTAATACACGCATGTAAGTTTGTTTCCTATCTAAACAATATGAAATTACAAGAAAGAGGAATTTCATTAGAATTTTTAAACGGGGTGTATAATTTACTAGTTCTTAAAAGTAATAACACATTCATCAATGTTAGTGGTAGATAAAAAAAAAAGTTTGAACGTTACTCAAGAACTCGGGGAGTAGTGCTCTCCCTACATACTGAAAGGTAGAGATGAACCACGGGAAAATGTCACTATTTCAAGCTTCATTATAAATGATAAGGGTCAGACATTTAGATTAAATTGTTGATATGATCATAAGTATCTAAAACGCAATCAGATGTTAATATTTTGTAATGATGCAATTAAAATCACAGTTATATATGGATCAGATATTTGTCAAATTTAGTTTAACGCTCCATAAAATGGCGTGATATAGCTATAGTAACAACATAAACGGTACACCAATTTTAATGCATCAGATGCGCATTTCGACAATTAATGTCTCTTCAGTGATGCTAGAGGTCAAAATATTTAAATATCTAGAAATCTAATATAAATGTTGAAATGTAGATCAAACCAGAACGGACCTAAAGTATAGCCAATTCAATAGGTTTATTGTTTGTCAAAAAATGTATGAAAGGATTTGTATTGTTAAATATTCAAAATATATGAAAAAGTAGAGGTATTAAATTTTTCTCATCCCTACCACAAGAGTTTTGAAGAATTATATCCCACTCTGATCACGATTTTCCAATTAATCTCTTTTCATAATTGTCAAAAATAATGATTATTTTCATTCTTGAAATCAACATTATTATATACCCTTCTTTGGCTGTTTCAACTTTTGTCATTAAGCGTTCCTTTATCTCGGGAATACCCAGAAGGTAAAAAAATCATTTATCTCTATAAAATTAAGGAGATATGATTGCCGATAAAAGTTAACCATTCATCATAGTTAAAATGAAGTGGATGTAAGGAATAACCTCTGTCCATTCTT